GGGGGCGAGGGCGGCGCGGCGGGTGCCCGTCCCTCGGGGGCGGGCGTGCCTACCTCGGATTTCCACACGACGTAGGCGGCGGGGCGAGGCTCGGGCGGCGAGGGTTGCCCCTTCCTTTGCTGCAGCCAGCGCCGGGGCGAGGAGAAGATGCTGTTGGCGGGGCTGGCGGTGCCGCTCAGCGCCAGGGCCGAGGGGGTGCGCGCCAGGAAGGGCAGCTCGTAGCCGGGACTCCGCTTCCCGCGGAGGCTCTCCTCGTCAAAGAGAGCACTGCCCGGCGGCGACCGCTCCAGTGGGGTGCAGGGGGTGGAGAAGGAGGCGCCGTGGGGCGGCGGGGCACCCCGAGGACCGCGGCGCTCCCCTGAGGGGCTGCCGGCGGCCCGCGCCCGCGCTGCCCGCCCCGCGCCCTCGCCGTCCTCCCGGCCGCCGCCGATGATGGCGGGGTCGAGGCTGCGCGTCTGGCGGAGCCTCCGCTTGGAGAGGCTCTTGGCTGCGGCGGGGGCGGCGGCGGCCGGGGAGGAGCAGGAGAAGACGCTGCTCAGCAGGCTCTGCGCCGACATCGCGGCGGGCGCTGCCCCGGGCACGGCGGGGCGGCCGGGGGTCCTGCCTGGGCTCTCGCTGCCTCTGCCTCCAGCCCCCGCCAGGGCGGCGCGGAGCGGCCCTGGGGCGTCCCCCACGGCGGCGCGGTCACTTTGCTGGGAGGGAGAGGGGAGGGAAAAAAAAAAAAAAAAGTTACGAGAGAAAAGGGGAGGGAAAACGGCAGCAGCGGAGCTTTTATCTGGGCTCGCCGCAGGCTGCCAGAGTCACTCCCCCCTCGGCCGCGATGCGCAGGGGAGTCACGGGCCGCCCCACACACACACACCCGGTCGGGTCCAGCGCTGGCGGGGCCCGTCTGCCTCCCCACACGGGGCTGGAAGGGCCGCTCCCGGTGTCGCCTGCACCTCGCTGTCGCCGCGGGACGCCCACGTCGGGGGCGCGGGGAGCAGCCCCGCCGGGCGGCGCGGGCTGCGGGTCCCCAGCGCGGCCGCTCCGGGACGGTGCAGTTGCGGTTTGGGGAGGGATCGAGTAGCGGCGGACAGCTGCTCTCCGGAACGATCCCGAGGTCAGCCAAGCCTCGGTGTGACTCTTCTGAGCCCTGCGCCGCGTCCCACTCCGACCCCCGCTGCTGCTTATGGACCTCCCGTCCGCCCCGGCCCGGCCCGGCTGCGTCGGGCAGCGATGATGTCTCCAGAAAAAACTTGCAGCAATAAACAGGGTACTCACATTGTGCAGCGCACAGGACAGGGTCTTCAACAGAGCTCGACTTGTAACTGTGTTCTGGCCCGCGTCTCTCTTGCCGTTCTCTGAAACCCCTGCTTTGAGGGCACATGGACGTGAGCCCCACAGGCAGCATCGGTCACCGAGACTGTAACTCGTCTGCTGAGTACCTCAGTGCCGCAGGAAAGGAAAGGAGTGGGACCAGTGAAGCTAAGCCTCCTGAGGACTGAGTAACTGACCATGTTTATCTTCCATTGAGACTTTCAATGTTCTCGCTCCAAACATAGGCAAGGAAACATTTACCAGAGAGACAGAACAAACTTGGGGAAAGCAAAGTTGTAAAGAAATGCAGAAAAGGAATGAACAGAGAGGGACAATACCATTCAGTTCCATGAAGGCAGCCAGCTCCTTCCTCACCAGGAGTGAAGGAAGCAGCCCCTTAGCTGCAGAATCTGACTCCTGTTGCTTCTCCTAGCTGGGAATATTAACAGTCCTCATTAACTCACCTCACTGGGGGAATTCAGCAGCCATGCTTGTCAGGTTTTTCCTGGATCTCCAACACCATCATTTACGTAGTGTTTAGATTTTACTAAGGAACTTTTAGGTTCATGGGTGGGTTTGGTTCTGTTGCTATTGTGTCAGTTAATGTTACAGCCGCTAAATTTTTCAAGTTGGGAAGCAAAACACACAGTACCAAATCCTGTTTTTTCTTCCTGACTTATACTTTTATTTATGGAGTAAGTGGACAATGCCACACTCCTGTGCAAGTCACAAACCTCCCCAGTCTCAGATGAACTCACAGTTAGACTGCTGATTCCATGGGGCCTAAGCATCTTTCTTTTGACTTGAAAACTCACCAGCTCCACAAACCCCCAGTCTTCCCATAACCATTGCAGGCAGCTCTTAGAAAATTTGCCTAGAAAAAGACTGGTCATTTTGGAAAAAAAAAAAAGTGCATTAGCATGACACAAGGGTTATTTTCTCCTCATGCTGCATTTTCTCCTCAAACCCTAGTACAGGGTTGTGTTGTTCTCCCTGGGGCCCTGGAGCCAATGCAGGTAAATGCTCTATGGCAGCACTTTCAGGTTTCATCAATAATTCTATTGACAGTTCTCTCCTCTGTGGCTTTGTTTAAGGTTCATAAACAGCAACAGCACACAAGTACATCCACTTTCAAAGGGAGGCGTTCTGCTTTTAGGTAATGTTTACAAACGAGATTTTTTTTTTTTTTGGTCTGCAAAGTAGCTTTCCCCTCTTATTTTCATAAACTGTCCTATTGCCTAATTCCAAGTTCCTCCACAGCTAAGGTTGCAGCTGTTTCTGTTTAAAGCTTCATTTCATTTTGCCTCCTCATTAATGCCTTCAATAAGGTCTCATGCTTGAGACTAAAAAGAAGGTCTGAAGCATAAAACAATCTGCATTTGTTTTTTGCAGTTCTGAGCCTATTCTAGCAATTTAGTTGAAAGACACATCTGCAATACAAATATATGTATGTGTGGCTCCAAGTATTTGCTCTTTTTTGTCCTGTAGAAACATCATGGGAACATAAAGGGACAGGAAGACATGAGGAAAAAGGCAGAGAGGGAAATTCAGAGCTGTAAGGAACTCATCCCATTAGGAGTAGAGAGGACAATCACATTTGCCTCCAAAATTCACCAGAAACAGTTCCCGCCACTCTCTGTGAGGTGCCCTGCCCACTTTGAAGGGCTGATACTCTTGGGCACAGCCGGTTGCCAGCGGGCAAACCCCCAAGTTTGTGATTCAGATCCTTACACAGCCTGTGAAAGGAGACTGAAACCATCAGATAAGGGCATAGTTAGGAGCATACGTCAGCTTATGAGTAGCAGCTCTAAATAAAGTGGAGGCAAAGCATTCTTATTTCCACCTGCCTCCGTCCAGGTAATACTTATTGCCCAGCTGGTTTTCTTCATGAAAAACTCCATGAAAAATTGTAGTTTTCATAAGGCAGAGACCTGGAGGATCAGAGCTGCAATTCAAAAAGTAAGTGCATCATATGTATAGAGATACTCCATGTAAACAGCTTTGCTACCGGTCTTAGCTGTTGTCTGCATCTTTCAGGGGTAACAGCAAATTACTGATTATTTTTGAAGTTTCTGTTCATTGTCACTATGAACTGCATTATTGTGGGACCTGGCATCACCATCCTGAAATAGGCCTGAGCTCTAGTGGGCATGGTACAATCACAGGACAAAAACACAGTCCTAATTCCCAAATTTTATGGATAACTTCCAGCCACAAGATACTGTCTGGGCAGCCATATCTGCAGAGGATTAGTGAGATAATACTAGTTGATCTGATGCTGCTAGCCCTTCCTTTCTGAGGCAAAACACTGGAACAGGCTGCCCAAGGAAGTGGTGGAGACACTGTCCCTGAAGGTACTTAAAAAGCCTGTAGAAGTGGCACGAAATTATTTCTATTTATGCCTCCATTGCCTTGACCTTTACCAACAAAGTCTCCCAGCCCTTTGTGCCTCAAGGTGAAAAAACCTGTAAACAGGAGAAAAGGACCAAGTCATGGATCGTTTCTTGAGGAGTCATAGCCCAATCAAGTCTTAGGAATCAGTGGGGATGAATCTGAGAGTACTCAAAGAACTGGATATCATCACTGGAAGGCCACTTTTTATGTTTGAAAGGCTATCAAAATTAGGAGAAGTACCTAATGGCTTGGAAAAGGCTAAATGTTGCACCTGTCTTCAAAAAAGCAAGGACTACCCAAGCTGCTTCACTTCAGGAAAATAACAAAAGCAAGTTCTCTTGGAAGCTATTTCTGGGCACATAGAGGAGAAAAATGTGACTGGAAAGACCCAGCAGGGATTTACCAAGGGTAATCATTGTGGAATCCCTATCACTGTTAGTTTTCAAGATCTAACTGCAGAAGGCACTAAGCAATCGTGTCATAGTTTAGGTTTTGCCCTTCTGTAACCAGAAGGTTGGAGTATAAACCTATTGAGGTTCCCTCCAACTTGAATCCCTTTCTGGTTCTAAACAAATACTAATTTTGAAGCAAAGTGAAGAAAACCTTAACTTTCAGAAGATTTTCAGAGACTTTGTGTAAATGCCTATCACCTGACTTAGTAACAGGCGTGTTACATGGGTAAGTTTTAGAGATACTATGGTCTTATTGTTATTTTTAAAATGTCTGGTTTTATCAATACCCCATTAAACTGAAATTGGAAGGAGATACTGTCACCTGTTTAGATTGAATTTTAAAAAAATAATTTTTTATCAAAATGAGAGTGTGTTCATCTCATGAATTAAATAAAGCCTGTTTGGTTCAGACTTCTGAAAAATCTCTGAATATAAGGGTGATTTGGTAAATCGTAGTTTTTTGTTACTCTAATTATTTCTTTAGAATGTATTAAGCATTAAGGAAAAAAAAAAAACCAACCCAAAACCACTCTTTTACCTTACTTTTTTTTTTTTCTTACAGAAGAATTCCTGACTTTGTCATTCGTTGGATTTGATTTTTTTGGACAAAAGACATATCTAAAATGTATCTCTTCCAGTCTTTCTGTACAAATCAAAGAACTGTTGTTTGTTTGTGTTTTTTTTACAGAACTTTTGTCTTTATTGCAGTGGAATTGATCTATAAACATTTCAGCACAGCACTCAAGGCTGCTCCTCCAGAAGAGAGTGCTACAGAAGTGTTTGTGGAAGCAGCTGTGGAGTGGGGTGCAGAAGTCCACACAAGGAGCCAGCACCCAGCTTTTACTCCAGTGGGGTTCAACCTTCACCCAGCTGGTGACCTACTCAGTGCTTAGCTAGGAAAGTGGAATCTGTGTGACAGTACCCAAAAAAACCAAGCCAAAAAAAAGAGAACAAGAGGCTTCTTCATACTGGAAGGGAGAAGCAATGTAATGCTCCTCAAAACATTTGCTGTACTGAAGCAATAAGAATGACATCGGGGCGCCTACTACATACCCTCACAGAAGTTATATATACAACGTGCAAATCTATGATGTAGCATATGGTGTATATAACTGAATGGGGTGTACATATTTGTAAATGCGTGTGCATATACACATGTGCGCTTAGCTATACATGTATGTACAGAGCATGCATATACACACACCGGTGTGGGGGGTTATTTTTGCAGAGAGAGCGAGACAGAGCGTTGCGCTCTCCGCGCTCCCATCCAGGCGTCCCAGCCCGCGCGGACAAACCCGGGAATGTCCCGGGAATGTCGCCGAGCCGCGGGGGCGGGGCCGGGGCCGCCGGGGGCGGGGATTCGGCCCTGGCCCCGCCCC